TGATAAAAACAAATCTGCAGCAACTCGCGACCCCACGAACTCGTATTCGCAATGAAGTTAGTGAGGCCACCACGGTAGGCTAGCACCAAGGGACAAGGGCAACAACCGCCTTCCCATCCAACCTACTGATTCTGCTGGCTCTACTTTCATCCTAAGCCCATGAGTACCGTTAGTGTGTTGCCACGTACGGACAAACTATGAACTGAAATTTTCATCCAAATCATGAAAAATGTTAATGTTCCTCTCCTCTCCCATCCCTCATGTGAACATACCCAATTCATGGTCGGCTCGCTACATTCAGCGTAGCTCTGATGTGCACTGCCCTCGCTCTTGATTAGTTGCCGTAGTGCCACGCATCTATGCCAACAAGCTGGGGAAACAAATGCAAATGTTACACCGAGTCAAAATCAACCATCCCACAATCGTAACAATAGAAAAGATGATAACCAAAATTTAACAGAAGAACTACTGCTTGGCTCCCAGATTTATCTCGATAGCCCTTGATCTGGCTGCTGAGCTTCTCCTAGCCGGCTCAACATCACGTCATTACCAAACATGTAGTGGATGCCTAGTGGGACAAGGATTAAGAAATAACATGAGGTGAAAAATGCGATGGCTGTCAATTCCATAAGACGATCCAAGTAATTTGACAAAACAGATCGAGAGCATCTTGTATAATCTCAAAAAAGCAACTAAAAATATGAGAAATGAAGCGATGAAAATCAGCCCCTGCTCTCATTTATGTTCGCTTTTGTAATGGGAGGCAAGGAATGGGGATACCGGGAGAAGAAAGGATCACATGGACAGCAAGCCTTCACCACCGGCAAGTGGGGTTGCTTCACATCCAATCTCCACGGCCGCCGCCTCCATGGGGACGAACTCCCATGTTCACAACCGGGCTCCCAATCGGCCGCTGCCTCGCCGACCTTGACGACGAAGTAGTCCCTCCCTACGATCCCATTCGCAACGGAGGCAACACCAATCCCAGCGGACGGGTCCCCGTCCGCGGTGAGATCCCTACTGGATTGTGGTCGCGCCTCCCCAAACCTCACCGCGGGACACATGAGAGGGCGCCGTTGCCATGGTCAGGCTTGGATGGGGAAAGGAGGCCACATAGCAGCAACGGCGCCTTCGACGGGATTGGTGGCGACGGCGGCGGCGAGCGAGCGGGAGGACGGCGGCGGCGAGAGAGTAGGAGGGTGGTGGCGGCAGTCCATCGGCCGCCGTGACGTGAGAAGAGGATGGGGATGGGGCCGCGATCTGGACGTATGGAGCGGTCGAGAGGAGGGGAAGCAGGCGGCTGGGTTTTTCCATCATGCGGGGTTTGGGGGAGGTCAAACGAGAGGGTTTTTTTCGTGCGGGAGGCAGAGCAACAAGGGCGGATGTAGGGAGACGGGACGCGGTCGGTTGGCAGGAAAAGGAAAGCTACGCAAAATCACATAAATATAAGAAAATATCCCATCAATACTTGATTGATTGCGATTCATTTTTTATATGGTAACTAATCTGATCATCAATACTTGATTGATTGCGAATTATTTTTTATATGGTAACTAATCTGATGGGTTTATGTGGGTGGTGAAGCGAAAAGGAAAGCTACGCATTTTTTTAGGCAGTAGAGATGATTGATGATAAGAAAGGGAAAATCACATCAATATAAGGAAATATCCCATCAATACTTGATTGATTGCGATTTATTTTTTATACGGTAACTAATCTGATCATCAATACTTGATTGGTTGCGATTTATTTTTTATATGGTAACTAATCTGATGGGTTTATGTGGGTGGTGAAGCGAAAAGGAAAGCTACGCATTTTTTAGGCAGTAGAGACGATTGATGATAAAAAAAGGGGAAATGACATCAATATAAGAAAATATCCCATCAATACTTGATTGATTGCGATTTATTTTTTATATGGTAACTAATCTGATCATCAATACTTGATTGATTGCGATTTTTTATGGTAATTAATCTGATGGGTTTATGTGGGTGGTGAAGCGAAAAGACAGGTGGGAGGGAGACGAAATAAAACCAGCAAAATAAAATCAACGAAAGTGGTGAGGCGAAATAAAAACCAGCGAAAAATAACCGGCGGACTATTCCTAGATTTTTTTGATTCGTCTCTCTTGGTGCGACGGGATGTTAGGGCCTGGAGTGAGTGGGGGCGGGCGGGGGACTCGGCTTGAGGTTTTTTTTGGTTCTATGCGGCTTAGCGTGAGACGGGAGGTTGGGCGTGTGCGGGACTTGATCGCGGGGTTTTTCTTGGTTTTTCGCGGCTGAGAGGGAGGTGGGAGGAAGTACCAAAAAGTACCAAAAAAGACCGGGTAAGGTGGGACGAAAATAAAACCCGGAACGCGACCTACCAACTGAGACATTAGGAGTAGAGATTGTTGTGTCACCATTACCAAAACATGTTGTGTCACCGTTACCAAAACATTCAAATGTGGCACAGGAAGGTCAATCACCATGGTGTTGCTACATGGGTGCTGCAAAAGACCATTGAAACAGATAACATTCTTGGAATCCCTCCTCAGATTGAAGGAGAGGAGGCAAGGCTGAAAATTATAGTAGGACATGTTGAGGATACCTATTGCATGTTTTTATATGTGAACAACGGTGTCTATATGGTTCAACTTAAGACGTTGCAATCTAGAAAACTTTTTGAAGCCTGCAATAGATTTACTTACTACCACTCTTTCAAGAGTTTCTATGCGCCTAGGTGATTGTTCATCCCTGGTGTTCATATTAATTGTTGGAGTAACCTAATCTTCTAGTGTTTTGTTCATGGTTTCTTGAATACCTTTGCTAGATAGATGACTATAGCCTTTTTTTTGTTTAGATATGTTCTCATTCTATACTAGTAGAAAGAAATATCCTGCAATGTCAAACTCCATTCTTTCATCCTTGAAAGAAAGAAACGGTTCAGAAAGCAGTGGAGCTGATACTAGCAAGGTCCTCTTAGATTACATTGAATAATTGACTGATACTCCATCCGTTCCAAAATAGATGACCCAACTTTATACTAACTTTATACTTCCTCCCAAAATTCATGTCTTAGATTTGTCTACATACAGATGTATCTAACACTCTTAGATTTGTCTACATACGGATGTATCTAGTTACGTTTTAGTGTTAGATACATCCATATCTAGACAAATCTAAGACAAGAATTTTGGAACGAAGTGAGTACTAAAGTTAGTACAAAGTTGAGTCATCTATTTTGAAACGGAGGGAGTACCTCCTAGTGCCGTGTGGTGTGACTGTAACTGTATTTGTGCTGCACTCAATAGGATTTAGGAAAGTGTCTCATATTGATCCTATATATTCCTAACATGTATCGTTCGAAACGTACCTCCGAATCTCTTATATAATGTAGTCCTAAATCTTCTCTTGTCTTCCCTTGTCTGAAAATGCTCTTATATTATGAGACGGAGGAATTAGTATACAGCAGAGTGGCTGATTGATAGCTTCTGTGATTGGTAGCTTATATTTCACATAAAAGAATGTTCAAGGTATGATAATATGTGAAATTTTATGAGAGAAAATACTGCATTTGTAAATATCATTAAGGGACTTTTTTTTACATCGCAACTGCTTTACTTTCGTCAACAGCAGCGCACGGACACGCCCAAGAGCGGGCCGGGCATCGTCCACTATGTGGGCCGCCCGTATAAATGTCACTAATGTGTGTGGAAGGAGAGGGGCATTTTGGCACCCGGAGTATATGCTCCTGGTTTTTAAAATGTTTTCGAATTTCATAAAATTCTAACAAAATGTTTCGCATTTACATCTCGACCTTTTACGTACTCACAAAGTCGTATCATGAAAAACCGACAACTTTTGTGCCGCGTGTGAAAAAGACAAAATTCAGTATTAAAAAGGGCATTTCACAAGACATTTTTGTCTTTTTCACACAAGCCACAAGAATGTCGGTTTTCCGCAAAACTTGGGGCACGCACATAGAATATTGAGATGTACGCATCAAATTTTTGTTCGGAATTTTTGACATTTTGGAAAAAAATATACCGATGGCAGGAGTATATACTCCCATGTGCCAAAATGAATTCCCTGTGTGGCAGGGGCCAACTCCCTTGAATGCTCGCACTCCTGTGGATGAGCTCGCCTGTGCCCGTTGGCAGGGGCCTACTCCCTTGAATGCTTGAATGCTTGCGTTCAGTCGTTCGGATCAGGAGGCTTAGACTTTTATTTCTCAAAAAAAAATGGGGGTTAGATTTTTTTCCCCACTAAAAAGAAGGAGGGTTAGATTTATCTTCTTCTGCAAATTGTGTGGTTTTGGTTTGAGTTGATGGAGTCTGATAAAATGTGACTCGTATCTTTGAACTTTTTTGCTTTTGATTTTTTTTAAAGGGCTTCATGGAGTCTCCTCTGATGCTGCTGCCAATGCATGGGTGCTTAGATGAGGTGCTAAGCACATTAAGTAGCTTATCAACTATACTCTCTAATGCATAGGTGCTTAGCTTATGGTTGCTAAGCTTGCTTCATTTAATGATTTAGCAACTAAATCTCTTCATGTATTGGTGGACTCTCTTCCTTTAAATGTTTTATCTAGGTTCACGCGCTTAGCATTGTTTCTTTCTGGGGTCACCACACTCATCTCTCTCCTCTTAAATAACTTGCCACATCAGATTTTTTGCCTACGTGGAGGGCTTAGCACCTGTATAAGGTGGAGCATTGGGAGGGGTCTAAATGGGCTTTTAGCACCCATAGAAGAAAAGTATGTATACGTTGCAAGAGCATGACGTGGACTGAGGGGTCAAGTCTCCGGCCATAAATACTGAGCGAAACATGAATAGAAATTCCAGCCACAACCTGGTCTGCCGTCCTCTGCAGGGTAGAATGTCCGAATCATTATAAATTCTTGCCATAACTTGAGCATACGAAAAGTACACATGGAAAGACTAGCTTAAAGTAGCTTGTTGTGGAACGGAGATAAGACGCTCGCTCCACTGTCTTCCCCGTCTGCCATTTCCGACCAATATGACCAAGCTCGCGCTCCTCGTTCGAGCAACTGCACTACTCCTTTGCTTGCTCATCTCCCAAGCAGCATCCACTTCCCATGGTCAAGCGACTGTATCAGAGGCTTGCCTTAGCAGTGAGCGAGATGCGCTCCTGTCCTTCAAGGCGAGCCTCTTCGACCCTGCTGGCCATCTCTCGTCATGGCGCCGTGGTGACAACTGTTGTCAATGGAATGGTGTTCGATGCAGCAATCGAACTGGCCATGTAATCAAGCTCAACCTCCGCAACATCGACATGGATACTGGTGGCTATCCGAACATGAGCAGATCATTGAGCTTGTCGGCAGGAGAGATGAGCTCCTCTTTGGCTACTTTGCAACACCTGAGGTATCTTGATCTGAGCGGTAATGACTTCACCGGCACAAGCATACCTGTTTTCATGGGTTCCTTCGGCAAATTAAGGTATCTCAACCTTTCGTGGGCATATTTCACCGGGACGATACCTTCCCAACTTGGGAATCTCTCCAAGTTGCAATATCTTTATGTTAGTGGTAATTATGATGGTCTTCGAGCAGTGGATCTTGCATGGTTGACACGCCTCCCTTTGTTGAGTCATCTTGACATGAGCTTTGTGTATCTTAGTTTTGTGAGGGATTGGGTGCACACGTTTAACATGCTCCCTTCTCTTAAAGTGCTTCGCTTGTCCGAGTGTGGCCTTAATAGTACCATGTCGGCTAGTAATTTACATTCCAAGTCCAACCTCACACACCTCGGGGTCCTTGATATGTCTTATAACTACTTCCTTGGCACTTCATTCAAGCACAACTGGTTCTGGAACCTTACAAGCCTCAAGGAGCTTTACCTCTCCGGTTTCGGCTGGGACGGACCCATTCCCAATGAACTAAGAAACATGAAGTCCCTTCAGGTCATAGATTTGAGTTGGAACGATCTTGAGGGTTTGTTACCAAGCAATTTAGAAGATCTGTGTGATTTGAAAACATTGAAATTAAATGGTAACAACGTTAATGCGAACATGGATGAGTTCATGGATCGATTGCCAATGTGCTCAAGGAATACATTGCAAGAGTTGTGGGTAGTGGAAACAAATATGACTGGGAATCTGCCAGTTTGGATTGGGAACATGACCAATCTCACCGTTCTTGAAGCATCTTACAACATGTTGACTGGCCCTCTACCCGTAGGAGTTGGAGCACTTGGTAATTTGAAAACCCTGGACTTAAGCTACAATAACTTCAGTGGTGTGCTCGTGAAAGAACATTTCACAAACTTAGGTAATTTAGAGAGTTTGTGCCTCAACTACAATAATTTCAGTGGTGTGCTTCTCAAGGAACATTTCACAAGTTTAGGTAATTTAGAGAGTTTGCGCCTCAACTACAACAACTTCAGCGGTGTGCTCTTCAAGGGATATTTTGCAAGTTTAGGTAATTTGAAGTTTTTGGACCTCAGCTACAACAACTTCAGCGGTGTGCTCCTCAGGGAACATTTTGTAAGTTTAGGTAATTTAGAGAGTTTGCGCCTCAGCTACAACAAATTCAGTGGTGTGCTCTTCAAGGGACATTTTACAGGTTTAGGTAATTTGAAGTTTGTGGACCTTAGCTACAACAACTTCAGCGGTGTGCTCCTCAGGGAACATTTTGCTGCAGGGTTATGTAATTTGGAGTGGTTGGACCTCAGCTACAACAACTTCAGCAGTGTACTCCTTAAGGAACATTTTGAGAGTTTACGTAATTTGAAGTTTTCGGACCTCGGCTACAACAACTTCAGCGGTGTGCTCTTGAAAAGGCATTCTACAAGTTTGGGCAATTTAAAGCATTTGGACCTCAGCTACAATAAATTAAACAGTGTGCTCACAGAGGAGGATTTTGCAGGACTATTGAATTTGGAGTATCTAGACTTGTCATACAACTCTTTGAAATTAGCTATCAACCAAAAATGGGTTCCTCCATTTAGATTGAAGGTCGCAGGTTTTCGTTCATGCCATCTTGGACCTCATTTTCCAGAGTGGCTCAAATGGCAGATTGACATCGATGTTCTTGTTCTTGGAAATTCAAACCTGGATGATGTTATTCCTGATTGGTTTTGGTTCACATTTTTTTTTTAGAAAAGGAGGATGACCCCCGGCCTCTGCATCTGGGCGATGCATACGGTCACTTTATTAATTATTCTCACAAGACCTTAGAAAGTCATACAACAGCAAGACTAAAGCCACTTTCTAAGCAACAACTGTCGCTACACCTATTCAATCGATGAAGGGGCGCTGATAGTCTGGGCCTAATACCAAACAGACATCGCAGCCAAACCTAAACATCTAAGACCTGAGGTCCCAACCAGGACGCCCGCCGGGTATGGGGTACCTACCAGTCCGGCGCACTCCTCAACCAGGACGCCTGCTGGGTATGAGGCCGCCGCAGCCACTTGCCACCAAACCATCTTCAGAGTTGTACTGTTGCATCTACCTTGCACGGTCTAGCTACCGTCGACGCCACCACGACGCCAGACAGCTCCACCGTTCTGCACTCATCCATCCCGACGCGGACACTCTGAAAGATCTGTCGTGCGTAGCACCTGCCGACTAGGCATGACTCAGCGTAGCACCTGTCGGTCAGGCATGACTTGACATATCTTACCAGACGCATCTGACGCGGTTAGAACGCCGCTCCTCCTGCCAACCTCCACACCATTGCCGCTGAAGGGGGAGAATAGCTAGCCGGCCTTGTGCGTCATTCAGAGTGTTTATTGCATGACAGATTCAGCTGTAGTGTAATGGTGCAACAGACAGATGGCGTCGACTTTGGCCCCTACTCGTCAATGTGACCCTGAAGCAAACTCGCGGCATGAAGTGCCCCCCTTCCTTCACTGATGGTCGTGCCATCGAATTCACAAGAAAGAAGAGAGCAGAATTGAAGTTGCCTGTTTGTTTGCAGCTAATCACCCATGTTGCTCTTCTTTGCAAAATCAATTGGAGATTCAGTTGAGAGAGAACACAAGTGTTGATTAATCTAACGATACGCCAAGTGCGATTAATTCAGTGATGTGAGATTAGCAAGTAGTAGATGACTAAGTCAGCTCTGCTCCGTAGTCTGTTGTACAACACCAATTATTTTCAGAAGATCCACGTTAATCATGACTAACAAGTCCACGGCACTAAGCTTTATCTTTGGTAAATACAAGTGTTTTGTGCTGCGTGCGAGAGAACAATTGGTAATGTACTGCAGAATAATTCGTGTGGAATGGAGACCAGAGAGAACAACTTTTAGTTCAGATGGTGGATCTCGTGTGCTGCATTTTGCCCTGTGTGAAAGGCAACTAGTAAGACTGAACTAATCGCCACATTCTAAGAATTTAAGAAAAATACATTTCCCTAGTGCCATGGAATGAAAGTTTCATTCATCTTGACAGTCACAGGAGACGGGGCCGACGGATCTCAGATCAGTGCATGTGTGTGGTGCTCAGGCATTGTCCCGGTTCAGGTCTACAGAGTCCTGAAACGGCGGCGCAGGCCGGGGCGGCGGCCCCGGGCGGCAGATCTGGTGGTGGCCTGCTCGTCGGCAGGTTGAGCGCTGCTGACCCTGGGGCGGCGCACGAGGGGTTTGGGATCTAGTGCCCAGGACTGACGGTCGCGACAGTGGTTGCTGCTGTATGGGCAACGCCAACAGCTGGCGCGGCGGTGGGTGCTCGTTGTAGTGCCCGAAATCAGGACGGTGGACCCTCTTATTTAACGGTGGCAGACTCCGGGGTCGTCTGGGCGACCCGAAGTCTAGAACTCATGATGGTAACGGCCTTTCTGAGGCTGATGGCGGTATGGGACGTCTTCTTCATCAACAGATCGGGTTCGATGCGGCTCGGCGAGTGACACATGCATCTCCTTCGGAGTAGTTGGGCAATGCCTTTCTCCAACAGGTGAAGCCTCCGACGGATGCTACACACGACTTCTCATGCGGGGGCGTCAAGACATGCCTGCTACTGGCATGTGCTGCACGGTGGCTTTGGCGAAGATCTCATGTCGAGCCTGTTGCTGCTGGATCGAAGGTGATGCGAGAGTGACGGGAGGCAGGCGGTATGGGACGTCTGTCTTCGGGTGTCTTCTCCAGAGATATCTGGTGTTATCGAGGCATCGGTAGCCGGATAACGGATGATGGTACATACGGCTTCAACGACCACTTATTGCACTCCGGTGGAAACACAAGGTCTCATAACAGGCTATGTCGACGAGCGTCTGCGTCATGTTCTTGCTGAAGGTGGTGAACTGAAGCTTGCCTTCAGGGATGAGAATCCAGGGTTCAAACCTGGTGTCCCCTTAATTTACTCGTTTCTAGAGCAGCAAATACTTTAATTATTCTCTCTCGATTCTCCTACAAGAGAGGTGGGCTTTCTTCAACATTTCGTATCAAACAACCATTTAAAACGTCATCAAAAGTTGAGTACCAGCATCAAAGCTGGAAAGTCGTCTATGATATGATCACAACGTAGGAACCAAATCTTCATCATTGCATGCACCCACTCATACGACAGACGTGCGATTTGTTTATCTCCGGAGAGTGTTCCGTGGAGAACCACATTGTGATACGGTATAGAGTTAAAAACTTGTTAAGCATATTTGCTCTCCGACACCAAATTGTTTACTTTTGACAACAAATGTGCGGCACTGTCATGCTTTCCTTTTCACTTTATTGGTGCACACCATGATTGAATTGAATGCCCTCCAGAGAGGAATGAGCAGAAGGACATCGGGTCCATCTCAATGGTAGGTGAAGTAATTCAAGTTTAATTTTACGAGAAGAGGGCTACCATCTTGCATGTGCATTTTTTTGGCCATATGATGTAATGAATTTGTTTGGAAACTGGTTAGCAGGTGTTCATCTCAAATTTAAGGCACATATCCGGGTGGAAGTATCTACCTCACTGTGGGAAATTTGAAACTGTCATAACGATCATGTTTTTAACAGGACAACTATACATAACTTTTTGCGAACCAACCTATAAGATGACAGTGGTATCGCCAGCCCACCAGAGTTCAAGTCCTATACTTGACTTTGGTGCTCGCATTTTTCTGGTTTATTTCAAGCTTTCCAACAATGTGCGTTCAGTGGGTTGACACGTTCCCGTCGACTATGAAGGCATCCGTTACGACTTCGTCAATCTCAAGATGATGTGCCGGCTCAATTTCTTGGAGGTGCTCATAGGTATAGGGTGTGTGTGCGTGCGCTCATAGGGGTGAGTGTATGCTCGTGCATGTAAGCTACTTTAGTTGTACTTTGTTCTAAAAAACTATTCCTAACTTTTTCAAGTTTATTTTCAGAACTACATGATGGATTAATATGTGTTGCTCTCTGCAACGTACCAGAGGATCAAGCACCTATAAACTTTGAATGCAATCATTGTGACGCGATAGCACGGGATACATGCAGTCAGTTTGCATTGTGATGCATTAATTAGTTATGTGTTATCGGCCGTTTATGGTTGGGCCAACTTCGTAAATCACCGTCTTCGTCCTTACCATAAACCTTATTGTCTCATGTTCTTACAGCTGAATCCATCGATTGGATCAAACAATGTGCCTGTAGCTGCATCTGGAGTTGGGCAACCAAGCCCAATGACTACTCCTGATGTTCCTACTCCAAACTCCAAAACCGTGTGAGCCCCAAGTTATGGCGATGAACTTCATGCTTGTGAACTTCCTATGCATGTAGTTGTGAACTTGTTATCCATATACAAATTGTGTTTACTGAGAGCCTATCGCAGCAACTTGGCAAACAGTGGGCGCACGCCGAAGCGGTGTGGGCACGTGTCGACCCCTTGGGCCGTGGCCTCTGTTGTGAGCGAGGCACATAATCTCAGCAAACACATAGGTTCTCGGTAAAGTTTGAAGGCCTCTTGGTGACCGCTTCTGGGTTGGTCTTCGCCGAGTGCCTCTGGTAAGGTCTCGACGAATTTGAACTATCGGCGAACCTGGCAGGACCCGTGTTGCCTTTGTGTGCTTGTAGATGTACTGAATTCTTCATGCCAGCTCTTGGCAAAGCTATGGGCCACGTGGCAAATACCGTATCCGTCCAGCCCGTCAAGTGCTTTTTTCTATGCCGAGTACCCTGGTTAGGTCTCGGCAAAGTGGTAGCCGAGTCCCCAACGGCTGGTACTCGACAAAATGGTGTTTGCGTGAAGACTTTAGGCCGAGTACCCTTAGCCAAGAAATGAACTCGGAGAACTCTCTGCTGAGTTGGAATTAGCTTTTGCCGTATTTTACAGGCACATGGGAAACCTGCAAATTGCAGTAGTGCAACAAGGTACGAACCGAAAAATACCGCCATTGCCAGGTATAACGAATTAGGGTCAGGCCTAGAGTATTCACCCTAGATCTTGAAACCAGGTACTTGAAAAGGACCCTGGAGTTCTAAACTAGGGTTAGCTGACCCGAATAACTCGCGACGATACCGACACAAACTAAGAATAACTATTACTCCCTCCGTCCCAAAATAAATGTAGCTGATTTAGTATAAACTTATGTGAAACTTATTTTAGAACAGAGGAAGTACAAGTTAGTATAACCCAACTAGCGAGATGTCTGCGGTAACTTCGTTAATCGTGAAAGTCAGAGACTCCTGTCTTTACTACTTGCTCCGCCTGGAATTACTTGTCGTTCAAATGGACGTATTTAGCACTATTTCTCGGGAGGGAGGTAGCAGATGTGTGCGTGTACATCCGTGGTTTGACAACTAGCCCACTTATGTAATCAACTAATTAGCTTGGGCCAGCGCAGCTGTTTGCCGCTGTGACTACCAAGTCGTCAAAAGTGTAGATAATGACGAGATGTGATAAGCTGCACCCACTCACACTACAAATGTGTGATTTGTTTACCCATAGAGAATATTGTGATAAGACAGAGTTAAAAACTTGTTAAGCAGATTTGCTCTCCGACACCAGATCGTTCACTTTTGACAATGCGCACCGCTGTCCCGCTTTTTTATTTCAAATTTCTTTCTTGGTGCAGCATGATTGAGTTGAATTTCCTCCTGGCATGAATACACAAGAGCGTATCCCGTCCAGCTCAAAGGTTGGTGAGGTAATTGGATGGAGTTTAATATTCGTCTCTCTCTAATTACACTT